CTAAATCTGTGAAGGTAAATAACCTAATAACTTCTAATTACTATGCAAAGCCACTCCTGGGAACCACCCTTTGTGCAATGATACTACACATTACCCATCTTTTGGGCCACACAGAGGCATACCCTTTGAGGGACAAATAAAATGCTCCAGGTACCTACTTCTCCTACTGTTTTAACAACTTCCTAGGAGATGTTGCTAAGCATCTCCTACCTAAGCAGAGAAATCAGTTGAAAAATTCTGTTTGGGGCTTGTGTTAAGCAAATTTTACTACTAAGTATTTACACAGTAGCAAGACTATACTTCAGGTGTTGAGTCAGTTAAAAAAAAAGTAAGTTAGTGATAATTAATATAAGGAAGACCTGTTAATGTGACTATTTCTCAAATATATACACCAATAGCTAAAGTCAAGGAGGAGGGAATTGAAGATTTTTATCAAATTTTGCAGTCCAGAATTGATAAAACATCTAATCAAGGTGATATAATTGGTGACTGGAATGCAAAAGTTGGAAACAATGAAGAATAAAAAGTAAGCTGAAAATATAAACTTGGTTACAGAAACAGGGCCAGAAATAGAATTATAGAATTTTGTATACACAATGATTTATTCATCCCAAATATCTTTTTTAAAAAACACAAACATAGGAGCTCTGGTGACTTAGTGGTAAGAAGCTGCACTGCAATACCAGAGGCATGCAGTTTGAATCCACCAGATGGCTCTGCTGGAGTAGGAGGGACAATCTCATCCTGCACCTGTCAGATCCAATTTGAAGGTACACACACAAAACAAACAAACAAAAAAACCCAACATAAAAAAAAACCACAAACATGTGGACTTCACCAATTGGACTGCATAGGAATCAGATTGACTACATCTGTGGAAGCAATATTTGGAGAAGCCCGATATCAGCAGTCAAAACCAGCTCAGGTACTGACTATGGAACAGACAATCAGTTACCCATGGGCATGTTCAAATTGAGGCTGAAGAAAATTCAAACAAGACTACAAGAACCAAAATAGGATCTTAAGTCTATCCTACATGAATTTAAAACTCAAAAATAGATTTGAAGAATTTATCACCAATGATAGAAGAATCAGATGAGTTGTAGGATGACATCAAGGATAATCCATGAAGAGAGCAAGAAGTCACTGCAAAGACAGAGGAGAAAAAAAACCCCACAATGAATATCCGAACAAACTGAAAATTGCACTAGAGCATCAAGAAGCCAAAACAAAAAGAAGAGATGTTGAAGTAAAAGGGCTAAACAGAAAACAGGTCAAGAGTATAAAATATTAAAACAAAATATAGAGACCTAGAACTGGAGACTGAAAGTGAGGAGGACTTAAAGCACTTGTTGCAGGTCAAAGAATTCAGCCTTCGGTATGGATTGCATCTCAATGTCAAGAAAACAAAGATTCTTAGCATTGAACTGATAGGCAGCATCATGATGGATGGAGAGGATATTGAAACTGTCAACAGCTTCATCTTGCTTGGATTCACAGTTAACACCCTTGGTACCAGTAGTCAGGGAACAAGGAGACACATTGCACTTGAAAAATCTGTAGTTAGGGACCTCTCCAAATTATTTCGGAGTAATGATGGCACATTGAGGACTAAGGTGCGTCTGCTTCAGGACATAGTCTTTTTTATTTGAGATCTGAACAATGAATAAGGATGACAGAAAAAAGAATTTATGCCTCTGAGCTGTCATGTTGGAGAAGAGCACTGAACATCCCATGGATGGCCAAGAGAATGGATGTGTCTAGGAGAGGGTGCAACCAGAATGCTCTTTGGAGGCAAGAAGGATGAGGCTTTGCCTCACATACTTTGGGCATGTTGCTAGGAGGGGCTATTCCTTGGAGAGGGACATGATGTTAGGAAGGGTGAAGAAGGAGAGGAAGACCATTAACATGGTGGATTGACACCATGGCTAGTGCAGTAGGCTCTTGTGTGTCAAGAAGTGTGAGGATGGCACAAGATAGAGCAGGATTCAGATCTTTTGTTGGTCTCCGTGAGTTCTACTCAACTCGATGGCACCTAACAAAAACCAGAATTGAAGAATAAAAAGGGGAAAACTCAGTGTTTCTCAAGCTGAAAGATTAGAAAACCCAAATTCAGTCCTTGACTTACAATACTTAGAGATGCTATATGAGCAAAATCTTCAGTGATCAGGAAGCATCAAAAGAAGGTAGAGGGAATACAAAAAAATCCTTGTACCAAAAAGAATTGGCCAGCAAAGAGCCAGTGATAATGAAGGAAGAAGTTCAAGTTGCAGTGAAAGCACTGTCAAAAATTAAGTCCCTAGGAATTGATGGGATACCAGTTGACATGTTTCATATGACAGATGCAGCCCTGGAGGTGTTCACCAGTCTATGCAAGTAAGTTTGGAGGACAATTTCCTGGCTGAATGACTGGAAGAGGTCCATATTTGTTCCATTCCCAAGGAAGGAGATAAAAAAGAATGTGGAATTATCAAACAATAGCATTGATATCATATGCAAGCAAAATGCTGCTGAAGATCGTTATAAAATGGCCAGAACAGTACGTAGAGAATTGCCAAACATTCAGCCTGGATTTAGAAGGGGCTGTGGCACCACGGATAGATATCATTGCTAATGTCATATGGATTCTGACTGAAAGTGAAGAATCCTTCTACAACCATTTGTTGGGTACCTACAATTTTGGTAGTCTCCAGGAATACAGAGTGAATATAGCTAATCTGGTTCCTGCTCTCAAGGAACCCTCAGTCTAGTAAACAAAAGGAGAATTAACTAAATAATTACAAATGCTATTACAAATATAGCTAAATGTGATTAATTACCAAATACTACCAAAAGGAAGGACAAGGCCCTAGGAAGGTGGATATAAGGGGACATGCAGGTTTGCTCTGTCCCTGGAGTGAGGCTAGCCAGCGTGGGCCTAGGGTTTGAACCAGGAGGTGGCCTTAAGCCGAAGGAAGCCGGGAAGGAAGCTGCCATGTTGTTCCTGGTTTGGCTAGCGCCTTCACAGGCTCGTGAGAAGCTCTCCTTGCCAGAAGGCAGGAGCCTGGTGGTGGGGAATGCAGGAATCGTGGCAAGCTTTGGAGTGGACTGCTTTTCCAGGAATGTGTTTGACGTGCAGGTTTGCTCTGTCCCTGGAGTGAGGCTAGCCAGCCTGGGCCTAGGGTTTGAACCAGGAGGCGGCCTTAAGCCGAAGGAAGCTGGGAAGGAAGCCGCCATGTTGTTCCTGGTTTGGCTGGTGCCTTCACAGGCTCGTGGGAAGCTCTCCTTGCCAGAAGGCAGGAGCCTGGTGGTGGGAGTGCAGGAATCGTGGCAAGCTTTTGGACTGGACTGCTTTTCCGGGAATGTGTTTGACGTGCAGGTTTGCTCTGTCCCTGGAGTGAGGCTAGTCAGCCTGGGCCCAGGGTTTGAACCAGGAGGTGGCCTTAAGGCAAAGGAATCTGGGAAGGAAGCGGCCATGTGGTTCCTGGTTTAGCTGGTGTCTTCACAGGCTCGTGGGAAGCTCTACTTGCCAGAAGGCAGGAGCGTGGTGGTGGGGAATGCAGGAATCGTGGCAAGCTTTGGAGTGGACTGCTTTTCTGGGAATGTGTTTGACGTGCAGGTTT